CACGTTACATTTGAACTGGAAGCTGGTGAGAATTATCTGGCCCAAATGATCCAGTATCTGATCACTTTCGTATTTTTAATATAAATATCCTCAGGCTATTTTCTTGAGGCAGGGAAATACCATTATTCCCACTTGGAGAAAAAGAAGAGGGGGGCTAAGTGATTAGCCTGAAATGATACAGGGAGCACATGGCAGAAAGAGGTAATGAATCCTTGGCGAACACCAAGCCATCTTTATGAGCTTTTAGAGACAACAGCTATATCCAGCCCCTTTTTTTTATTTGTCTAGAAGCCATCATGCCAAAACCTCTGCTAAATTAGAGAATGAGACTGACGGAAAGCTTTCAGTGGATTGCTTTTTTCCATAAATGGAAATATCACAAATCATTCTGGGAAAACAGGTCTTTCTGTTCTTGTCCCTCTTTGTCTGCTTCTCTCCTTTTGGATGTCTCTTCCTCTGCCTCTGGCTCCCAGTTTTCAGATGTACAGTCCCGACCATTTAAAAGTGTTCCTACCCTGCAGGAAGGGAGTAGCTTTTCATTCTTTGGAACTTAGTATTTTGCAATGGATTGCACTCTGCAGGCAAGCAAGACTTCTGAAAGAGACAAGGCTGCACAAAGCAGCACAAAAATAAACCGTATCACCATCAATACCGAGCCAGGTCCTCATCAGGGGTAACTTGGTCTGACTCTCACTGCAGCAGAGCTGATGGCTGCCAGCTGTCCTGAATAGACAGCGTGTACGCAAACGATGACCTGGCCCCACTGAAGGAGGTCTCTCTGAGGGCTGAATGTGTAGTTAACGTTGATTTTCATGCATCTTAAATATTCAGTCCCTCTTGGCAGTATGGCAGGTTTTCTCTGCTCTTAATGCTGGGCAACTTCTGTTCTGGTCCAAGCACTGCAGGGGTGCCTGTTGCACTAGTTCCTCCAGACTGCATTTTCCAAAGCTTGGGCAGGTGACAAGCAAACACTGGGGATCTCGTCTAAGGACTCCCAGTAATTCACTGTGATTCTCTGTAATTCTGTGATTTTCCATGGACCTGGGCATCCCCAGACTTTCTGTCCTGAGACAAGCCAGAGCTCCTACCCACCTCCTTTGGAGCCTACACATCCCAAAGCAGGCTGCTCAAAGGATGCCCACACCGATATGCCAGAGAGAGGGAGGTGGCTGTGATGAATGAGAGAGACTGAGAAACAGGAGGAAGATCTGGTGGGTGAGCATGAGAAAGAGGATGAGGGGAGAGCCCAAATGGCACTAGGAGAGCTGCAGGGAGGAGGTGGAAGTGCGTGGCTTAAGTTTCTCAGAGAGGCATGCAGGAGAAGTCAGAGAGCTCAACACCTGCCTGTTTTGGGGTTTGTAGCATGAAATAGCTCAAGTCACAAAGAATGGGAAGGGCAAAGGGACACGGGTACAGAGAAGACATTGCTTTTACTCTCTTGAGGGGCTGTCAGAGCCCTACATGCCCTCACATATTATGTTTTGTTCTTGCTCAGGCATTCAGGAGCATTAACTGTAGGGTGGCACAGGGCTCTTCCCTCCCTGGCACCACAAACCGCACAGGCAGCAGGGGAAAAGGCCGTTGTGTCAGACCTCAGCAGTGATGCTGAGCTGCTCCATCCCCCTCCCTGTGTGCAGCCACGGCGTTTCCACCAGCGCAGGTGCCAGGGAGGCTGCTGCACCATCTCAGCAGGCCACAGATGTCAGTCAGAGAATTGCTGAGTGACCTTGGCACGAGAAGCAACAACGAGGCCTTCCCCACACCAGGTGGGTTTCTAAACCACTGCCATCCATCACTCACCTACTCCACGTGCTCACACAGCCACGGGCACCAGCGCACCCACACCGTGCCCTCTTTAACACGTCCCCATACGGCACGAGGCAGAGGAGTGCTGTCACCCCCATTTTACAGGGTGGGACTCTAAGGCAGAGAGAAGTAGCTTTTAACAACATGCCTGTGGCAGAGCAAAAACTGAATCTTGTTCTTTTATATTCCCAGTTAGCACATTAATGACCTAAATTCTGCATCCTCTCCCCATCCCAGAGGAGCTGGGAGGCATTGGAGGAGAGGGTGTGGTAGCACCAGCGAATAGTCAGCACCCAGAGTCACGGAGCTCTGTGCTGAGCACAGACACAGCAGGGGCTAAAGAGGGACCAATGACACCCACCCTGCCCTCACAAACCCCAGCAGAGTTGAGCCAGGGAGGGGGGACCAGCCTGGCGCAGCGTATCAGGCTGCGGTGAAGGCCAGCTCCTCAGTGCCACAGCACTTCAAGCAAGGCAGGGCTGGACAGCCCAATGGCCAAGCATCCTGCTAAGCCAGATCAGCAAGGCCTTTTAGACACTCAGCACCAGGAGCAGATTTTCAAGGAGACTGCATGTCCCCTCACCCTGCCTAAGCAGCTGAACCTCTAACTACGTATCCCATGCAAGTCCATCTAAAAGAGACCCTGCACAAGAGGCAGCATGTTTCCCAAGCAGCTTGGTTCTTCACATAGGAATTAATCAGGCTCAAAGACATCAAGGAACAGAGTAGGGGAGAGGGAGAAGAGAGGAAACAGGGAAAGGGTGGCACAGAGTGAGGGGTTTTCCATATGTAGTGCCTCTTCCCTCCCTGGCTGATTCTGACTGGGCAGCTCCGGCTGTGCACTGGGAGCCTCGGGTGGAAGGTGCATGCAGGTTCTGCCTGCTCGCCCAGCGTGTACAGGCAGGAGGCCCTCAGGGCTCAGGATTTTCTGGCCAAGGAGCTAAAATCTGAGGCTGGAGACTTCCCTGCTGCCTCCAGGAATGGCAGTGTTCACATACGCTGTACAGCAGTGACTTCAGCTAAAGGACCAGGGTGATGAGCTGGTCATCTGTCACAGGCAGATGGCCTCAGGCATTCAGGGGCAAGCAACGGAAAGGACCCCCTTCATGCTGTATTTGCCTTCCTCACAGGTATTTAAGTGGGCAAGTAGCAGGGTGGGAGTGTGGCAAGGGAATTTGCTTGGCTATGAAGCTTTTCTTCCAGAAGAGCCATGGCTGAGACAGACACTTCTTAAACAAGGTAACTGGATTGGGGATGGGTGATTAGTAACCTTTCATAACCCACAGTTTCAGTGTGGGAATAACACTTCAGAGGTACATGCAGAGGCTTTGTTCCTACTTTCTTCTCCTATTACTTACCTCTTACATGCACACACACTCCTCTCTGCTGTCTCTAGCCTCTTCATGGAAGCTCTTTGAACTAGTAGGTAAAGGTGATAGGTATCTCAGAAACATCAGATACAAGGCAACTGGATGCAGAATGAGCTGAGCTTGGGAGGTGATCTAGAAGAAGGGCCTCAAGAAGAAACTCGGGGGAATCCTTTGAACTTAGTCCTTCTTCCAGGTGTTCCTAAATACCTGAACGATCATCAGAATTCATCTGGAATAAACCTTCCAAGACATGACCTGGGGACCTGACATGGTCCCTGCAAGTTTCAGCCTGGGTAGGGTTGGCTTGAAAGAGCTCTGGGTTCCTCCCAAGCAACCCTTCCCAGAGGCAACAACCACAAGTGTGGCAGCTTCATTGTCCCCTTGCCCTGCACACCCAGCTGGTCCAGTGGCTGGGCTCAGGGCCAGGGTGGCAGGCAGCTTTCCTGGGTTGCTACAGCATTTGTCACTCCTCAGACTCGGGCTCCAAATTTTCTGCAGAGGTATCAGTCAGCGTAAGCCACCTGACCTCTGGTAAGGGGACCTATGGGATCACCATGTCCAACTATGCACCCCATGTGGATTCAGCAATCCTCCTTTCTGGACAGATTATGTCCATCAATTCTGTGTTAATGACCAGCAAGTGCAAGAGTCCAGAGGCAAATGAAAGGAAAGGCAGGAGAAAAAGTTTGGGGGAACCCCAGGAGGTATAATGAAATTGCTTTCCACATGGTCACCCCTGTACAAGCATGAACAACCTCATCCTTTGAGATACTAGTCAGCTAGTGGTCATGATGATGACGTGGCTTGAGGATTACCTCTCTGCAGTGGTATTCCTGATTTCAAGAGGAGAGAGACATGAATGATAAAAATAAGAGCCTGGTAGACATCCCAGATGACAAAAGACTGGAAAGATGTCTCTGGCCTCCTGCTGGCATGGCTTTGCTGGTCATGGAGTGTATGAAAAAGGGTGCCCCATGACTAAAGCTAGCAGAAGGTCCTGTACCTAAACCAGCCTGACAAAACTGAGGGTGACCAGCCCAGCTTCCCTCACTTATGGAGTTAAACTTCCTCCTCCAGTGCAAAGGATGTTTTGCTGCTGAGCTGCATACACACACTTGCACCAAGCTTCTTGTAGCCTTAGTCTGTGAGAGAACACAAGAGGAGGCCTGATAAAGGCATGCAAAAACAAGCAGTCATGAAGAAAGTAGATTAAGAGCTTTTATTCTTCTCATATGACACCAGAACATCGGGATGTATCCTGCCCATGAAATGAATAGGCAGCAAGTTCACAGTTGAGACAAACAAATGCTTTTCCACTCAAACCCGATCACCCCACTGTACGCAGCACTGCTGCGATCCACCAAGGCCATGCTAGGTGAAACACTAACACCCACAGTTATGCTGGCTGATGCTGAGGGAAGGGACCCTGACCCTCGTGCTTCACAGCCTGACCCTGTCTCTGGCTCCTCTTCCCACCCCACCTGCCCCAGAGGCAGGCAGCACTCTCCTGTCTGTCTGCAGCAGGAGTCATACCCACCGGCCAAAGCCTCTGGTGCTCTCCACCGTTGAGCAAGGGGCACTGGGCTAGGTGCACATCAGGCTGGATCCAGATGGCAAATCCCATGTTCCTGTGCAAATAAGAGGGAGATACGTGTGCGAGTGTGTGAGGAGAGTACCTGGGCATTTAATGGGTACCTATACGCGAGCTGGCAAGCGAGCTGGGAGGAAGGCAGGGCGGGCACAAAGGGCAACACAGAGGGCAGCTGTTCCTGCGAGGCAGGTTTTGGTGTTCTCATTTGTTCTTTTTTTTCTCTTGTTCCCTAGGGAATTTTAAAGGTCTGTGTAAGCAAATCGATCACTTCCCTGAGGATGCAGATTATGAAGCCGATACAGCAGAATATTTCCTCCGTAAGTCCACAGGCTCTTCTCTTTGCAACAGCTTGTAGGTGCTAGTGTTGGGTGCCTTTTCCTTTCTGAAGGTAGAGTGGTGGAGACGCTGGGATCTATGAGGCTCAGCAGGCCAGAGGAGGTGACCCCAGAGCCTGGCCACCGCCCAAAAATGGCTCCACTCTCACCTCCCTGGGGCTCTGCCCATGAGATAGTGCAAGTTGCAAACTCATAGTAACAATCGGTGGCACTTTTTATTAACAGCAATTAATTATTATATACATCCAGAGTCTTAGTTCAAATCCATTGGAGAGCTGTCGAGTGGGCATAAAGTCAGAACTGGGCTAGCTGGGGCAGTGTGAGTGTGTGTGAGCGTGTGTGTGTCCAGAGAAAGTTTACATTTCCTTACCTGATACTCCAGTTGCATCAGATTTAAGAAATCACCTATACTGTGTCCGGGGAGCACCTATTTCTATCTTCACCTTTCCCCAAACACCACTTGCCTACAAAGGCTGCAAACCTGATCTTTGCTGGTTTTAGGTATTTTAAGGATGGGAATGGGAAGCAAGACTAAGGACAGTCAGAGCCCCTTGAAGAATAGACCTGGTGCTCACCCAGAGGCCCTGGGAGAGGTGCTGTACCCCAGGCACGTGGCATCTCCATAAGGAAACCTTGACCTGGGCTCCGAGTCCAGCCTGGGATGTGCAGGTGAAGCTTGCAGCACTTTGCATGTGATGACAGGGAAGGCAGCCAGACCAGCAGGTCAGATCCACCTCATGTGTTGCCCTCCCTGATCACAGGTCAGCATTTCCACCTGCCCCAGAAGGAGGAGCTTGCTCTTCCTTTATCACAGCTGAACAGTGATCACTACTCCTCTTAGGTCCCCACCTTTCTATCCTGCCCTCCCTCCACAAGCCCAACACCTTTTAACATCACGAGAAGAGATCTTGTCCCTTCAGAAATCTGAGATAAGAGCTTTTGACCTCCCAAGGTTAAGCATCAGAGGTCTCCAAAGACTGGGAGTCTTTCAGAATAGCTCCTTTTCATCCGCGTGTGCTCCAAGCCAGATGTGGAGACCCAGCCCTGTAGCAAGAATGAGAGAGGTAATTTAGGCTCTGTGAGGCTCATTTGTATGTGAAAAGAGGTGGATCTTATGCTGCTTCCTCTTGGTTTCTCAAGCAGTTCTTCATCCACTGTAAATTGTAAATAACCCAGGGAGATTGCTTCTTTCAAATGCCTTTCTGCAGCATTGATCTCTTAATCACCGCATGGCCCCTGATCAGTAGAGATGAAGACAGGGGTTTGATCTGGTTTGGCACAGCAACTGTGCAGGCTGCCTCTGAGGGCAAACCAGCGCTTGCAGAGTGGTCTGGGAGCGAGGAAGCAGCTTGCAGCATCAGCTGCACTTCAGAAAGAAGAGCTGGTGGAAGGAGGCAAACATCTCAAGAAGGATGGGTATGTTCCCCCATAGGGAACAAGACCTGAAGATAAAAATTGTCCCAACGTCAGGACCTGATGGTGCCCCCAGAGTAGAGCCCTTTTTAAGAAAGAATCAGGTTCAAAGAAGGATTTGGCAACTCAATAAAGGACTATTTGGGTCACTCCTGGGGGAAGTGGGATTTCTGCTGGCTTAGACCTGACCAGAGAGGGACCCCACTGAACAGCTTCTTCCCAGGACTCGTGCCAAACCACAGTCCCTAGGCACTCTGCATGGGCGATGCCTGACTGTACTGGCAAGAACACCTAGGAAGTTGTTCATTAGAATCAGACTAGGTGATTCCCTCATTCAGGGGAGCAGGACGATTGCAGGGCAGTGTCCATGGCCTGGCTAGAAGGGCTCAGACTTTATTTCTGTCATCCATCCACATAAGGTGTCTTAGGCTTTCTGAAACTAAACGCCTGTTGTTGGAGAGGAAGCAGAAGCATTCCAGAACTTCTTTGCTAGAAGATGCTCAAGTTGGAGAGCAGACAGATGATATGAGGGAGCATCTGAACACCATAATGAGTTTGCTTCTCTTTAGACCAAAGGCTCTGGACCCAGGAACACTGGATGAGATACTGCTCCTCTCTTGCTGGCATGGTCCTCCTGAGGGGGCAGAAAGCATGGGCTGAGCAAGGCTGCTCTCCTTCCCCATCACTTAACACCCACAGCTTCCCATGTCAGCTGCCAACTTTGTGTTTCAGAATTAAGACCCAGATAAAACTGATGTGGTCAGGGCCAGGCTGCAAAACTGACCAAGCACCCCTCTAGAAACCCTCTGAACAGCAGATGTCTGCTTCATGTTTGCTTACTGCCATTTAAGCTTTGCATTGTCAAATCTTGCCTTGCTTTCCAGAAGCTATTAAGATGGTTATTATCACTATCCTGTTCCCTGACACACAGCCAGGCAGAACTGGAAAGCAAGCAAGAGAGGTTTTTCCCTGCCTTTTGCATTTCCCATGCACAGGCAGTGGGCTAGAGTCTCCCTCAAAGACCCAATTGCTTGTGCCTGGTAGGATCCTGATCCCAACAGGGTCTTTGAAGCATGGTTTCTGTCTGCTTAAGAAAAAGTCCTGCACTTTCTTCAGTAGGGTTCATTCTTGCAGGCAAAGAGGGATTAGCTTTCAGCACCCGTTCCAGATCTTTGCTCCACAAGCAGAATTGCACCAGTCTGTCTGATACCTTTTTTTATCAAGCAAGGCTTCATTTCACACCGTAACAGCTTATTTTCTCTTGAGAAGGGAGAAGGGAAGGCCTTCCTAGTTAAAAAACATGAATATTGGCAACACAAACTCAGGCAGACCGTTGGTACCCCCTGAAAAGCCCATGAGCAGTGTGTTTGTGTGCGTGCATGTGTGTACGGGTGTGCATATACACTGTCCTGGCCTTTCGCTCTGTGAGCATGAGAGAGTCCCCCCAGAAGCTTTGGGGTACATTTTGCATGTGCGTGTAAGCACATACATGCATCTATGCAATTGCCCTCTGCTGGCTGAGCTCTTCCCCTATCAACCAGTGGAGAGTATGTGTGTGTGGGAGCTGGCACATCCAAACCCATCACTGCCCTCTGGAAGGAGCCCAGTCATTTAATCGCTCAGATAAGCACTGCATTTCAGTGCACAGGGCTGAGATTTTTGCTTCTCAGTCCTCGCTGCAGACACAGAGCAATGCACAGCACCAGGAGCTCCTTCCCAGCCCTGAAAAAAAATCTCTCCTTGAGATGCTCATGCCCTTTTGGGAGGATTTGAGATCAAGCAGCTCCACAGGAAGCATTTGGGTTGCTGCTCTTTGAAGAGTGGGCTTGAGCAGCAGCGCCCCATGGAAGGAGAAGCTGGATGGTGCTGGGGCTCCCCCTCCAGCTCGTAGTCCCCCCAAAAAGGGAGGAGAAGACAGCATGAGGAGGGAACAGGCAGCACAGGCAGACTCCCAGCTCAGCCATCAGCCCCACAGCCCCCTCCACCTCCCCACACTGGGCCACCGGCTTTGCAGCAGCACCTATGGCCAGGGCGCGGGAGAGCTGCTGGGGACCACTCTCTTTTTCTGACACACTTTGTTTCTTTCTCCCTCCCTCTGTCCCCCGACACCTTTATCCCTCCTTGAATTACCCCCTGCCCTGCACATTGCCCTCTGTCTCTCCTCTTCACCCCCACCCACTAAACATGCTCACGTGCCCCCGTCCCCTCGCCCTGCACCCTTTCTGTAC